GGGTTATTTTATAGTTATAATTATGTGACTTCTACAGGTAATCAGCTTTATTCAGCCTCTTTCTGTCATATAAAGAAGGAAGAGGAGCTAGAAAGAAGTAAGGAGTAATGGGGTATGTGTATGTGGTTCCCTTAGCTTCCCTTGAAAGAAGCAGATGGTTAGGGGTCTCGGGAGGTAGAAGAAACGGGGCCATTAGACTGTCAGTGGGCTGTGAAAAGTTGCAGCATCTGTGAGAGTGGAGACTTGTTCAGCAGCAGGGGAGCCAGCAGTAGCAGCAGATGATCTCTGCCTCGAGCAGTCAGTGGGATTGCAGTCCAATCAGGGATTGCTGTTGAGGGAGTTGCTGTAGGTAACCTTGGTAATAATCCAGTTGGTCAGGCAGTCTGTAGAGGGAAGATAACGGGTTGATGCCTGTGCTCTGGTTTCCTAACTTTAATTATGTTTCTTACCAAGCCCAAGTCTCTTTATCTAGGCCAAACTAACAGTTATAATATGGAAAAGTTCTTGACCCATCCTGAGCTGGGCACTATCAGCATATTCAGCATTAGGGGAAAGACATTCTTTAAAATGCTTTTTCTGTTTGTGTGATATCACGACACTTTCAAAGGACTAGGATAGTCCAGGCTGCAGCTACATGTGGGACTGTTACAAAGCCCAAGTATTTTGAAAAGGGTGGCATGCAGACAGGTTAGTGTGTTTGGGGTTGGAATATTTTTCTTCATTTTATTTTTCCGCTGTTTTTTTGCTTTGCTTTTGCTTTGCTTTGTTTTTACAATTACACTGCACAGTGTATTCCTGGACACCATTTTTTTCTAGTTGCAGAAAACTTTTTATGGTGCTTCTCTGAATATTGGGTACCATATCTCTTCTGCTCTTCCTGACTCCGCTTTGTACAGAAAAGAACATTTTGGGAAAAGGTACAGGTTGGGATGCCTTTTTTTCTTGCTGCAGTGTAGTGGTGTTTCAAAGCACTAAGCAAGAGCTGGTTGAGGATGTATGCCTCAGAGGATTAAACTGGGCAGTCGGCTTCACTCAAGACTAGTCACCTTGAGCCCTGTCCTTTTAGAAGTGTTGGTTTTTATGGGCCATGCCCAAAAGACAGAATGAAGGATGGAGATAAAGAGCTATGATTCAGGACTTCATACGTGTCATGGTCGGATCTAGGACTAATGTCAGTACGTGCTATTCTTCTGGGTCAGCTTTACAAATGGGCTTTGGTTGCCCAATAGGGAAAGGCCTTTTCTCTGTTTGGAGTTTGGTTGTACACCCACAAGACGACGAATTGCATTAAAACTGGGCTGCAGATTTAAGCAGTCTGGTGTAAAATTAATGGTCTAGATCAGGAGTCAGCACCTATGGCTAGGGGTCTTCTTAAATTGCAGTTTCACAGAAACCACGAGATCTGGGATTGTCCTTGAAATTAAAAAATAAAAATGTTGGCTACTTGGTGGGAGGCAGTGGCCCTTGCTGCCGCTGTGGCACTGGCTGGCGGAGCAGCACAAAGGGCAGCCCTTCATTCTGGGGCCTCTCTGCCAATCAATGCCAAAAGGCAAGCCTGCGCAAAAGGCAGCCAGCAGTCAATATGGCAACCCTCCCTTTGTCCCTTCTTGCCTCTGGGGCCTCTCCGCCAATCAGCATCAAGGAATGGGGCTGCCAGAGCACATCTGCAAAATGCCTGCGGAATTTGCTGCTTATGCCATGACCAACCTGTGGAAATTCGTAAGTCTAACCGTGATTTAAGTAGACCCCTACCAATGGCTGAGCAGGTGGGGAAAGCAGCAGCAGCACTGCTGTGGGCAGTGGTGGGGAGCAACAGCTGCAGCAAACGTTGCATTCTTAGGGCTGAGCTCTTTTTGTGCACAAAAATGTTCCTGACCCCTGGTCTTGACTTTTTTTTACTTTGGAAATCTCGCTCTCGCTCTCATCTATATCTGTATCTATCTATAGGTAGATATAGATATCTATGTATGTCTTACAAAGTTCCTTCCAGCCCTAATGTTTATGACAGGCTTGTCCAACATGTGGGCCGCCATGCAGTCCGACAAGCCATTTTCTGTGGCTCGCGGTACTGCAATGGGAAAGGAAAGTAAACATGGTTTACTTTTGTTCCTGCCCCTTGTCCCTCCCCCAGCCCCTCAGCAGCTTCCTAATGGCTGCTGAAGGGCTGGGGAAAGAATAAGGTTCCCACACGCACCGCGTCAGCTTGACGTTGCTGCGGCGGTGCGTGTGGGAAGAGGAGTGCAGACCCGGCCCACCGCCTCCTGTCCCCAGCACCACATGGGGAAGCCACCGCTTCCTAGCCCGAGTGACTCACTGCTCCCTGCCCACAGGCAAGAGGCAGCCCGGCTTGGCCGCCTGGCCCTGGGTCCCTGGCGGAGGCGGAGCGGCGCGGGCAGGTGCCTCCTCCCACCGGGCTGTCAGCATTCGCCACACGGGGTGGCCCCAGGCTCGGGCAGAGCCTGCGCTCACTGTGCCCCGAGGAGCCACCTGGCTCCAGCTCCCTCCAGTGCGGCATGGCTATGCGGACCTGCAAAGGTGGTGCGACGGCCAGGCTCGCCCTCGTCGTCTGCCTCTGCTGCCTCCTGCCCAGCGGAGCGCCGCAGGTAGGGCCAGGCCGGGGCGGGAAGACCGTGTTTCCCCCGGGGCCGGGCCGGTGACTGTGGGAGCCTGAGGAGCAAGGGTTGTGGCCTGTGTTGCTCCGCTCTGCCTCAAATAATTGCCCACCCTGGTCTAGATCAGTGGTTCTCAACCTTTCTTGTACCAGGACCCATTTGTAAACATAGATGGTCAGTCCCAACCCAGTGTCCCTCACTGCTCATAGTTTCATAGTAGCTAAAGTCAGAAGGGACCTGAACAGATCATCTAGCCTGACCCCCTGCTACAGGCAGGAATGAATTCTGGGTTCACAAGACCCCAGACAGGTCATCGTCCAACCTCCTCTTGAATTTGCCCAGGTGGGGGTGAGGACCACCTCCCTGGGAAGTTGGTGTGTGGGGCATGGGGGGGCCCCAAGTAGCCCCTTGCAGGCTGGAACTCTGCCAGCCTACAAGAGAAAAGCCACAGTTATATGTTTTTCTCCTTTAAAGGAGAACCCGTTTTTAAAGTTTGCTCGTGACCCTTTCATATATTCTTCAGACCTACTTTTGGGTCACGACCCATGTTTTGAGAAATGCTGGCCTAGATCATGCCCAACCAGTGCTGTCCAACATTTTTTTTTAACACCTTCGTTGGTGGAGAGTCCACAACTTCCCTAGGCAGTCTGTTCCACTCCCTCGCTGTTCTAACCTCTGTGAACAGAGGGCTGGTACTGGAAATACAGCGAGGTTTTCAGGCTCTGTTCTGTGCTTTGTCAGTTAACACGTGGACAAAAAGAAAAGGGGAAGAGGTTTTCTCTTTAATTTCTACCTCCTCCCATTGGCAAGAAGCTGTTGGAAATGTCTTCCCAAGGTCTTGTTTGACTGGTGGCAGGATGCCTGCTGCCTCATGGGGTCCAGGTCAGGTACTGTTTTTATTGTTTTTAATTTGGATTTTAAACCACATTTCCAGACCCATTTCATGGTCACTTCCTGCAACATCATCGGTGTCAAAGGTCATATGACATCACTTCCTGATGTGATTCCACTTCCTGTGAGGTCTTTGAATATGGCTCCCCTGTCCACTGGGTGATAAAAAGTTCATGATCCAGCCCCACATTCAAAAAGGTTGGGAGACCCCTGGTCCATGACATATATATATGAGAGAGAGATATGAGATATATCTAAGACTACATCTATGCTATGGACTTTTCAAGTTCGTGATATATGCTTTCAGCCTTAAAGGACACCTAACCATACAGTGGTACCTTTTAATAAAGAGAGAAAACTTTAAGCCTGCAGAAACCAGCTTTTTTCAAGAACTTACAGTGGCTAATACTTTTGAGAAACATATTTTTGCTTTTACAAAGACAAGTTTGCTCTTTGACTGAATACACAGATGGCCTAATTCTCTGTAATCATTCAGAATGCAGTAAGTTGGTGAGCTGCTCTCACTCTGCTGCACTCTCATCCATCTGATACAATGATTAAATACTTCATCGACCAGTTGAGATAATAGGAATAAAGTAATGGAAGTGGAACACGGTCATCAGATAAGTCCTCCTATTTTGAAAATAAATGCACAAGCATCTTCCTAGCATGGAAAGCATTTCTTTTGGAGGCGTGCCATCTCAATGACAATGATGTATCTTCCACTGATGGCATCTCCTCCAGCACTAGGTAACCCTCTTTTGATCTCAGTCTGATAAAATGCACAGCTTGTCTTCTGTCATCTTGGAATGACCCGCTAGTGGGAATGAAGATTGTGTGGCCTGTGGATTTTTTTTAAATCCCCTAAATCAAAGGTTCCCGAACTGTGGTACATGCACCCCTGGGGGTATGCAAGACATCTCTGTGGGGGTTTGCGGGAGAAATTGTGTAATGGCAGATTTAATTTTCATCATCATCGGCATTTAAGGGGTTAAAATAGAAAATGTATGCTGGGAGGGGTACATGAGCAGCTGGTATCTCTGGAAGGGAGGGAGTATGCAATAAAAAAAAGTTTAGGAACCTCTCCCCTAATCCATTCTCTATTCTGCTACTGTTTCAAAGATATTGCAGATATACATGTTTTTATACTACAGTCCTGATCCTGAGGTCATCTTGGGGTACAGAGATATCTGGCCACAGGCTGGGTGCGAGGAATGTTGAAATTCTGTTTATTTGACTCCTACTAAGTTTTGCCCAATCACTTTAACAGTAGGAAAATGTTATTCAAATGACCTTATGTTGCCTTTGTCCATTAGATCTCACTTTGTGATGTGTGACAATGCAGTCAAAGTAGTACTTGTTTTGGGAGAAGGGGGTGGTTGATAAATATGAGAGCGATGTCTGAAAACCTTTTAGTATTGGTTGATGAAAATCTCCAGCAAAAAAAATGTAGGGACCCACCTGTTTGTTAATATTTCATTTTTCTATGCCTTTCAGAAATGTTCCCATTGCCAGGAGCCAGGAGCCACCTTAGGCTGCTACAACAAAGGCTGCTCTTTCCGATACCATTACCCATGTGCCATCGATGCAGGTAAGAACAGACAAGAGAAACTGTCTTACACTAGAAGAACATCTCACCCTGAACACTTTACAAATTGATATATGCTGAGTTTTCTTATCCACCATGAAAGTACAGTAACAATCCATGTGATGAAACAGGGCAGCTGGTGGAGTATACAGCAGCATTTTAGGAATAGGTTGGAACAAAGATTTAAAAAGAATCTGCTTGAAGCTGCAAAAAGAAGTTTAGGTTTCTAGAATGCAGCTACAAAAACTCGAATTTAGCCATGACATGGGAGATAAGCCCCTATTTACCTTGGAAAAATGTTTTTTTAGAAACTCTTAAGTAATCAGAACCCCTGATTTAACATGTTATTTAAAAGGCAGCCCTCCTTCAGCAGTACCATCTTTAGCACTGCAGTTGGTTCATGACCCAGTAACAACTTCAGCTGGGAAGTGTAATTCGTTAAGTTATCAGTGTCACATCCAGGCACATCTGTTCTGCCCCCTCCACCCGTGATGGTCTCTCATCCAAGCACTGACCGTATTCCCACCCCCCCCCTCTCCAGACAGTCCCCTGGACCTTCATGCGCCACTCCGTATACTTACCTGTGTCCAGTGTCTGGGGCTGCTCCCACGACCTGGTTCTATGCTGGTCACGTGCATCTGCCTGCCTCGCAGATGCACGTGCACCCACTGCCTCCAACCATCCCAAGCAGCTGCTTGCAGGCTGGAACACTGCCAGCCTGCAAGGGGAAACCCACACTTTCACAGGTTTTTCTGGGGACCTGCTCGTGACCCTTTCAGATATTCTTGCGACCCACTTTTGGGTCATGACCCACCAGTTGAGAAACACTGAGTTAGAGACCAGATTGAAGTTTGTCATCTTTTTCATACTAGCCCATTGTTTATGTCATGCACACGTGCTGTGTTGTCTTCCATTTTCCAAAATCTTTGAAATTTTGGATTGTTGATTTGTCACTTTCTAAAAGACTGTACAGCACTTTGCTAAGTGCAATAATAATGTTAAGTCATAAAATGCCGTTTACATTGCATTGGAATTGAGGGGTGTTTGCTCTGGAATTTGATACACTTGTACCACAGAGGAGGTGGGGTGCTGAGGATAATACGCACAAGTAACTGTTTAAAATATCATTATTACAACTGCAAAATCAAACATTCATAAATCTAGGAAATTCAAAAATCAAGACTGTTTGTGCAACCTTAATTTGGCCCATTTATAAATATGTAGTAGGTGACAGTCTGATTCTATGATCACACTGTTTTTTTCAACTGGACCCTAATCTTATTCACTACATGGAATTAATGACTCCCATTTAATGAGTGTCTTTTCAGTACTGTGTTTTATCTTCTCTGTTGAATGTGTTCCCCATACCTTATTTACTCCAAGCTGTTAAACAGTTCTATTTAAGAGCAGGGTTTTAATTTCCTCATGGGGTTTTTTGTGGTGCTCATCACTATAGTAGCCGGTGCTTCCCAGGTATTAATGAAATTATTTTTACAACATTCCTGTGAGACGAGAACAATCTCGTTTTGTGTTCATACAGTGTCTAGCGCAGTGGAGTCTTGGTTACTGATTAGGGCCCATACATGCTATACTAATACAAATAATAAACCTGTTCACAAATTTTGGGTGCTCAATTTGAGATGCCGGTGGCTTGAGCATGTTGAACATGACAGCATACTTTATTGTTTACAACATAACTTCCACTGATTTTTACCTGCGGGTTGTAAGTGCTTAGAATGTCTAAATCAGATTTCATTGTCTCAAATTGAGTAAGCAGAAGGTAAAACTAGTGACTGCATATGAAGAGCATCATATAGGAACTCTGGATCAGAGCCAGGGACAGAATGCAGTTCTCTAGGGCAACATTTTACTGCCATAAGACCCATCCTTTTTCTTCCTGTAGTTTTCTCCCTGCTCTAGCTTATGTAGCAGGTGAGGCAATTGTCCTTTAAACCAGGAGTAGTTTTTAGAGCATCCTTTTACTGCCTTAGTTTCTCCGTATCAGTCAGCTCTTACATGGGGAAAGCCCCCATCCACCCATTCCCAAAAAGCTTGGGGAAACTCCTCCCTCTGTGAAGTGTAGGTTACTGATCCCTGCTAGACAAGTCTTTTTTTTTTTTTCTTCTACAGGTGATTCACCCCCAGAGCAGGCCCATCCAATGCATCAAGTGAGGCAGGGGTTTTGTAAATTATATAATTAAAAGCTAGCTCATCCCCATGCACATATGCATTAGTATAAAATTGCAAAGGCACTTCTGACATACAAAAAACTAGAACTCGTGGTTCCAAAATGATACTTTTTATTAGACCAACTGGAAAATGGCAAGAAAATTGTCCTTTTCTGCAAGTTTTCGGGATCAAAGTCCCTTCGTCAGGCTCTGGGAAAAGTGTAGATGGTATGAGATGGTAAAAAGTCCCCATAGGTAGGAAATAAACTTCATTTTTGCACAGAGGGAGCTGAAGATGGAAGTCTGTCCCTCTGGTTCCATGTCACACAGATTCCTGGCTCATCAGAAGCTTCAAACCTTTTCACTCTACCACAGAGTCCCTCTCATTTGAAGTAGCAAAAAAATTGATAGCAGTAGTACATTGCTCTGTAGACTAGCAGTAGGAGAGGTAGACTGCTATGCCTGTGGATTTTCAGATGACAGCTGCAAGGAAATGGTGAACCATGAGAACCTTTATTTCTGTTGTAGGCTTACCAAACAAGTGTGATGTGGTAGATACAGGCTTTTCTTCTGTCCTTTCCTCTGCATCTTTGTCAGCTGTGGCCCCTTCTTGTTTCGTCTTCTGTGTGTCTGTTCCCAGGACTATTCATTTCCACTACTGAGTTCCAGGATCTTCAGCTACCAGTCTTGGTCTCCTCTCCTCAGACTTTTCAGGCCAATCCCAGTCTCATTGCACAGTAGAACCGTTTTTTCCTCTTCTCACTCCTTATTTGATGTTTCTTTCTCTGTCTTACCGTGGCCTCCAGTCATCAGCCCTGGTCACCATTCCTGTCCTGGACTGGCTCCCAGTTCCAGGCACCTTCTCTGGGCTCCTAATCAAATCACCTGTCCTGTCTCCAGCTCATTTTCCCAGTCCCTTTTGCCTTGACCATCTCAATTCTGCTTCTGTGGGGCTAATATATAATATACCCCACAGTTTTTTCTGTCCCCAGCCTCCTTGCCCATTTAGTCCCAGTTGCTCCTCCAACTCTTCATTTGATCCAAGTCTACCTCTGGCTGCTGGCTCCTGTTCCTCCTACCACCACTTACTCTGACCTTGGCCCCTCCTGTTCAGTCAATTACTGTTTGTGATTTGGTCCCAGTTTCCTCCATACTTCCAATTCCAGTGTACATCTAGCCAAGCCAGCTTCTCCTCCAAGTCTCTCCAGTCTGTGCCTTCCGGCCCCAACATGTTCTTCCTTGCACTCTCCCTTCCTTACTCTCCTGCGACTCTTGCCTTGTCTGTATTTGCATGAGGTGACTTGCTTATCCAGCCTGCCTGGACCCAGCAGGAAGGTTGCTGACAATTTCCTTGCTCTTGGTTCTGGTGCCTGGATTTGAGATCATCCATAGCAGCCTAGGGCTGCGGTAGCAGGGAAGCCTTGTGCAGCACCAGATTTGGGCATGTCAAGTGCAGATGATGGAATCTAGCTGCTAAACTCTCGAGAGGGTTCAGCTGAGTCTCTGAAAACTGACACTTCTTTCACTTCACTCCTCCCCCCACTCCCCCCCAATTGGGTGAATTTCATAGGGATGGCAAAGGCATGTCCTTCCAAAATTTCAGACCTCTGATTCAAAGCAAGGGAGAACTGTGGGTTTTCAGAGAAAAGGTGACTGGAATTTTTCAATATGAGCAAAACAGCATTTCCCCCAGCATTATCCTTGAAATGACTGGACCTTTTAGGTAAGAATTCTCTAAAAATGTCAGCACGAAGTACATACTTACATGAAAAATTTCATCCGAAAGTTTGGCAAAGGCTGTAAGTAACTGAAAATAGGGACTTAAAATGGGACGTGTCAGGCAAGCTTTATAATTAGCTCCACTTATATATAAAATAAAATAAACCAACAAAAGCCTTATTATATAGTAAGGCTTGATTTCCAGGTCTGCAGAAGTAGATTGCGTATGCTTCCTGGAGAAATGGATTGATGTTCTCTCTGGCAGCCTTCTTTTCTCAGTCTGTCATCTTTCTGTAAGCCCTTACATCAGCAATGCAGTTCAGTTGTCTGTCTTTCAGTGAGTCAGACTCTAAGAGAGATTCAGATGTTCTCTCAAGTTCCTTGAGCCGTGCAAGGAATTCCCTGGGGTACTAGATTCAGTTGAAGCCATTCCCTCCCATTACCAAGGATGAAACCAAACCACCGTGCATTTTTAACAAAACTAGGGCAAGGAACATGAGCGTCCACTCTGAGTAACCTCCCCAAAGCTCTGTATTATCAATTACAGGGGCTCACAGATGTATAAAATGCATACAGCTCCATTATAAAAATATATACAAAGTGTGTTAAAACTAGACTTCCCCGTCATTCATAACCGTGTTAGTACTAATTATATTTTGAACTTCTTCTTTTCAGGGCCCAGGTACATTGCAGATAAGCAACTAGAACAGGAACCTAGTGATTGTCATCCACGCTAATATACTGGAAGATTCTAGGGGTTTTTTTGTTTGTTCAGTTGCTTCTCCTTTGACTCCCATCCTGATAGCTCACTAGGGTTCAGTGGCACTAAACACAGGAGTTATAATGTTCTGTGCTCCATACTGAAATACGTGCGCTGGTTAGCCTTGAAAAAAACATGTTTTGTACCAGTCTTCATAGATTTCATAGACATTAGGGCTGGAAGGGACCTCAGAGGACCAGAGTCCAGCCCCCTGCCCAGGGGGCAGGAAGTCAGCTGGAGTCATAGGATCCCAGCAAGATAAGCATCCAAATTTCTCTTGAAGGTGTTCAATATAGGTGCATGAACCACTTCCGATGGCACACTATTCCAGACCTTGGGGGCTCAGATAGTGAAGAAATTCTTCCTTATGTCCAGCCTGAAATGGTCTTGCTGGAGTTTATAACCGTTCAACCTTGTCATCTCTTGGGGCGCTCTGGTGAACAATCATTCCCCCAGATCCTGGTGAACACCCCTGATAAACTTATAGGTGGCCATCAAATTGCCCCTGAGCCTGCGCTTTTCCAGGCTAAAGAGTCCCATAGCTCTCAGCCTGTCGTCGTAAGGTCTGCTTTCCTGACCTCTGATCATGCGCGTGGCTCTTCTCTGGACTCTCTCAAGCTTCTCCACATCCTTTTTGAATTGAGGAGCCCAAAACTGCATGCAGTACTCCAGCTGTGGCCTCACCAAGGCCAAGTACAACAGGAGAATGACATCCTGGGATTGCTTTGAGAAGCATCTATGGATGCAAGCCAGCGTTTTGCTTGCTTTACTGCCTGCAGCATCACATTGAAGGCTCATATTCATCTTGTGGTCAATCATGACCCCCAAGTCCCTTTCATCTGTAGTGCTAACCAGCGTAGCACTGCCGACCCTATAAGGATGCTGCAGGTTTTTCCTCCCAAGGTGAAGAACCTTGCATTTTTCAGTGTTAAACACCATCAGGTTCTCGTCCGCCCATTTCTTGAGCCTGCCAAGGTCAGCCTGGATCGCCTCCTGTCCTCAGGGGTGGATGCTCTACCCCTTAACAAATTAGCTTGTTAGCTGTTAAAAAATATGCTGTTCATAAGCCTTCACTCTGGACATACGTATGGATATCCTAATTTAGTGGTTCCCAAATGTTTTGGACCAGTGGACCAGTCAGCCTTCAGATTTCCCCTGGACCACTGTTTACCCTTGACATGAGACTTCTTTGAACTGTTCTTTATACCCTTTACTTGGGAAAGGGGGCTCCATTCCTCCCAAACACCCCCAAAAAACATCCTTTCCCAATGTTTGTCTTCTCACTTGCTGGTTGATGCACCTGGCACGAGATTATTTGAAAGTGGGGGTGGAAGAGGTTGAGGAGGAGCATGCCACCTACTTGTGCCCCTTCGAGCACAGGGCCTACTGTGATCTGTGGATTACCGTATTTTCTCACATATAGCTCGCACACTGATATAACCCGCACCTATGTATAACCCGCGGAAAATTGTATTTTCGGAAAGTAGTCCGTGTATAGACCGCAACCATGTATTCCCCACACCTGATAGTGTTGGTACCGGGGGCGATTTTAAGCCTATTAAGCCTGAGAGGTGCTGTGCCATGAACGAACAAATTTCACCGTTGTGCTAGCGTGCACTGCAAGTGGTATAAAGTTAAAACTGATGGTTATTTTCAAACGGGTAACAATGCCCCAAGAAAAGATCCCAAATGGAATTGCAGATATTTGCAATAAGAAAGGGTGGATGAACGAGGATATAATGAAAGAATGGAGAGAACACTGTTTTCGAATATGGCAAGGCGGGTGGTGCAGCTATAGCACTTGTATCATCATCGTCCAGTATGTCGTATAACCTGGAAATACTATTCCAACAATTATTAATGCGCTTATTAACTTCTGCTACACTTGTTTTTGCATAAATGGCTCTGCATAGCCTGCATCCTTGTATAGCCTACACCCATCCGTCAAGTTTGTAAAAACTTATAAGCCGCGGACTATATGCGAGAAAATACGGTACTTAACATTGTTTTATGGATCCCAAGTGAAAACCACTGCCCTAATATCTTTCTTCTAATCTCCTTTCATACAAAATATTTTTGTCAGCATGGGAGATCCTTGTGCACAAAAACTGCAGTGTTGTTCACTTGTAAAAGAGTGACAGTTGAATGGTGCTGCTTAAATAGTTTGTGTGGAGATGTCTGTGGTTAACATTTTATCTTTGCTCTGCTTTCTGTCCAAATTTATAAAAAGCCACTGATGTCTCTGAGAGAACTTAGTCCTTGGAGCATCTCCATAGAAACTGGACTTTTGTTTCTTAAGATTTTTGCATCCACTCCTCCTACTTGTTCTCCATCCCCTGGAATCTCAGATCCTGGTCTTTACATCAGTTTTCAAGACAACATTTTTATTGTATGATATGTCAAAGGATTTTGACCCTGAATAGGGAAAAATATAGTTTAAAAATATATTAAACTCTTAGGGCATAGAAGCCCGCTCTCCTTGCAGATAGCACAGGAGTGATGGATAATAGGAAGGAGGTGGGGAGAGAAGAAGTGACAAAAAAAGTATATGATGAAGCAATAATTTTTCCTTGACTCCTCCATTTAGGGGAAAAACAGTCCAAACAAATGAGATCCCTTCCCCTCTCTTTCCTGAACTGGCAAAACTTTGTCTGATGGTCTCTCTGCCTGAAGTTACCTCTAAGGACTGACTAAAGCTTCCTTGCCTGTACTATAGGCAGTAGTGACCAGCAGTTTTTGCCATCTTACGCATATTTTGTTGCTTTTGTCAAATGCTGATAATACCTCTCCAGTTCTCAGTGAGACAGGCTTCCTTATCCCTTAAAACACATAAGCAAAGTTGGCATTAATGGATAACTATATTGGCATTTTCAGTAAATATTGCCAATTTTAGTAAAAATCTAAGGTCAGTTCTTCTAACTCCAGCAATTGTTCAAATCGGGTGTGAGGCATTTTGACAGGAGGTGGTCTCTGGCTGCTTGCCCCCCGATCCATATGCAGTCCCTGCTTTGGGCATACATGGAACATTTAATCTGTCAGCAGTGCTAAATTCCTAACACAAGAAAAAAGGTAGTGTTTGCTTTGTAATGTTTTATATTTTGTTCTGGTGTTATGATACTGTACAGTCATAATTCATGGTGGAAATCCCACCTTTATAATAAGAGAGCACAATTTTTACTAATGCTGTATTTGGAATTGTTGCCCTTAGGAAGATTAAGGGTTTTACTTCAGGTGACTTTAGCAAAGAGTAGTAACGTAGCCTATTGCATGCTGCTTCCCTTTGATTCAGGCCAGAGGCACTGATGTTGCAACAGAAGTATTTCATACCAGCAAGAGAAGCTGTGCCAAAGCTTGGGTGTCTAGAAAGCTTTTCCCTCAAGCCTTAGTTGCAGTCTCCTGCTGCCTGCTAAACTCTTCTAGCAGATTGGAACAGCAGGGAACTCTGGTTATGCAACATACTTAAGTGGGTTTTAAATTAACACATTTTATTTACCATCATGCTGCTTGCCAGTATTTGGGGAGGCTGGAGAAGATGAGAGGTCATAAAGTGCCTTGGTGAATTCTCTGCTACCAGAAAATGCAGGGGCTGGGTAACACCAGATTAGGGAGGTGGTGGTCTTCTGTGTTTGCCCATGGGTGGGAGAGGGGGAGGATGCCTAAGAGATGCAACTGAATTCCCAAGGAGGATAGCCCAACACTACTTCTTAATGGAAAGATGGGATTCTTGAAATCCTTCACTAGAAATCAAGGGCTCTGAAGTTTGCACAACCTGTTACCTTCAGCATACTTTTTATGTGGTTGCAGCTCTTAAGATTCTAAGAAAAGTTAATTTAGCACCCTTTAGCATTGCTAAATTCACTCATACAAAAACTATGAGAAATGAGGGTTTTTTTAACAGATGAAAACTATACAGACGTGAAATGTGGAGGCAGATCCGAGAGCAGTATGAGTGACCAGACTATTAAGCCTGGTGTCTGTAAAAGTGATTAACAGCTTTTGGGCTGGGAATAAGTCACCCCCTTCTTCCCCCCGCAACACCCCTTACTCTTCCTCCTCCCCATGCTAGTGACAGATGCCTTTGGACAGGAATGAGAGGCACAAAGAAGGAATCATCTGTTAAGATCAGATGAGTGTGCCTGGCTTTTCCCATGTTTGTATTTCTAAAAGTTGGAATCCATGAAGGGAGGAGAAATATATACCTCTGTACTGATGATTCTTGTTCTTTACACAACAGTGAGGAGATTGGCAAGATTTGGTCTTCACATATCGAAGACTGTAAGAATAATACCACTCAGGTCTCTTGGTAACTTTATTTACCAAAACATTCTTGTGGAAAACTTGACAAGATAGTTCTGTAAAAGATCTTTGAATCCAAATGTATCTGGAAGGCATGGTTAATACACATGACATCATGGAGGATGCATTTTTTTTTTTTTAAAGTACTAAATCAAATTGCTATCTCTTCTCCTGTAGATTGTTTACTAAACGAAGAGAACTTCTCAGTGAGGTGCCCGAAGCACAAGGTAAGAAGAACCCTTTTCCTCAGTGGCCCCATTCTGTGCTGCCCTCTGGTGGGGGCTGCATCTCGTTTTTGTCTTTTAAATGAATAATTGTATATCTAGATAGCTTTAAACAATATTTCTGTAGTTCAGAGGGATGTATTCTGGGGACAGACACCTCCATAGATGAAGATAGAGAATTAAGGAGATATGCATATTTCCAGATGTTCCCTAAACTCTTGGAGGCTCTTTAGAAAATCCAGCTTCATAAGTAATGCGCTACTCCTGCTGGAATGCTATGTTAAAACTTTCTGTTCAAGGTTTTTTCTAAAACTTAGATGCAGGAAGGAAGGGAGAAAGGAAAGTGGCTGACAGAAAGGGTTTCATCACTTTGGAAGAAGGACCAACCAGAGATAGAAAGAGCTTAGTCCTCCTTTAGTGAGAGCTAGCAGGCTGAATACCTGGTAACTCAGCTGATTCTGTTTCCTCCTCATATCCTCAGTACAAGTTTCTGAAGTATCTGTCTATGAGACAGCAGAATTTCTGTCACTTGTGTAAGTAGGTGATCAAAATGTCAGGTGGAATTGCTTTTTTCTTACTCAGCTAGTAAGAAACCATTTAAAAATTGTGAGAGAGTATAGATGGTACAACTGGGAAATTAGGTGGCAGAAGGAGAAGGATTTTGCTCTTTTGTATCTGCAGGAGGATATATAGTCTCCATTCAGGTACAGTACGTGTTAGGAGCTTCCTCCTTGTGTGCCTGTGGTTAGAGTGACATCTGCTGGTAATTTGTATTTTTACAGGAGGCAGGGATTACTGATAATTTATCTGTAAAAGAGATTTATATTCTTATGCAGTGTTTTTTTGTTGTTGTTGTTACTGTGGTGGTGGTTGTGTTACCCCAGTAGGAATATATATATTCACTTTAGTTTTGAAAACGTAGGGGGAATGTTGGTGTTTGCTTTTCACGTTAAATATGTAGCCCCTAGCTAGCCTAGAATCCTCAGACGGGGATTTCCAGACAGAGAGCCATGGACCAGCTTCTTTTCCAAACCTTTTGTTTTAAGAAAAATATTTTTTGTCCTTTCAGTTGTGGAGATTTATGCTTCTTGTACACTTTCAGGGTTAAGCTGACATATGACTACCTACCTGAATTTGCAGGCAGCCTGAAACAGTAGTTTAAAGGTACAGTTTGTTCCAGCAGCTGGAAAAAACTACAGGAATGCTGTCTTTTGCCAAACTCTTGACATTTGATTAGTGCGACTAGAAAGGATCAATACATGAGGACTACCCTTTATTGCTGCCCACTAAAACAAACATGCTATGAGGGGAAAAATCTTACAGCTTTTCATCAATCAGTTAGGTTCAAGTAGTGCTGCTGTATTAGTATTAGCTGTTAGAACAAGGAAGTTATACCAGGAAAACACAGTTGTCTTATGACTAGAGCTCAGCCTGTTGTACAAGCCATTTGAGAACATACAAGTTTTGTTATCTGGTAAGCTTTGGAGGGGAAAAGGGTGCCAGCAGCATTAAAAAGAGGTACTTGATGAAGCTATTAAAGCTGTGAACTTTACTGAAAGTCCACTGCACATCTTTTCCCTATTTTATGAGGACAGGAGAGGGGGAGGTATTCATGAGCTTCTGTTTCACACCTAAGTTTGTTGGCTTTCATATAATAAAGTTGGAGATGCTTATTTGATCTCAGTGAAAATAAAAGGATTTTCTTCACTTAAATGTGGTTTAGCCTTTGCATGAGACTTCACTGACTTGTTATTGGTTTATTCTGAATGCTTTTTTAGGGGAGAATAACACCATCCTGCTCTTACATATTGCTAATTGGGCAGAGGTTCTCAGCTAGATTTGGAGCCATTCCAGGCTCCATCCAAGCATGTTGAATATCACTCTAGTAAGATAATGCATGGAATAAATTAAAATATGACTTTGCAACAGACAAAAGTGTGAAAGTTGAGCCATTGGAGAAGGAAAGGGGCTTCCAGTCAGATAATTTAAAAAACCCCTGTGTTTTTAACATGTCAGTAGCTAACTAACATCTGACACCTCAGCTCTTCAATTCAGGTGTGAGAGCTAACTTGATAAATCCTTTGAAAGAACCAGTAGGTCCTTTAGAACAGGGGTAGGCAACCCCCAGCACATGTGCCAGAGCATGGCATACAGAGGCATTTTGCTTGGCTTGCATGCCTTGGGGAAGATGGCAGGGGAGCTACAAGGGACCCAATCCTTGTTGTGGCAGTGCAGCCTCTTCCCTGTCATCTGCCTTGACATGCACACACAGCCAGCAATGAAGCAGGGCAGGGGTCTGCAGACCCTGGTGCAGCTGCTTGCAACCTTGCTGCTGCCTTCTGTGAGCAGCCTGGGCTCCATGGTGGGTAGCAGGAGTCTGCCCAGAGCACTGGCTGACTGTGGCAGGTAGCCAGGAGGCTGCAAGCATCTTCACCAAGGTCTGTGGAGCATCAGTCTAGCTTGTTGCTGGCAGCAGGTGCACGCACACCTTGGGGCAGATTGCAGGGAAGTGGCCAGGGCTATGCTGCCACAACAAGGATTGGGCCCCTTGCAGACCCCCCTCTTCCCTTTCCTCCTTCCCCCCCCCCGGCACACCAACATCTTACAAGTAAAGGTTGCAGATGATTGTGGCATTCTGCCCAAAAACATTGCCAACCCCTGCTTTAGAAGAATTGGGGAAGGACAAGCTCAGTATTCCATATTTCTAAGGTTGAATGACTGGCAGGAGAGGGAACCCGCAGACCTCTTGTGTAAATCCTAAAGGAGGAGAAAGAGATGTGTGCTCAGAGTTTATGACAGACAGACAGACACAACCTTTGTAGGTCACCTTCAAGTGCTATTAAGTTCTTGCTCTACTCTTTGTTGTTAAATTCTATGGTTTTTCTTTCTTTTTAAAATCAAAACATTCTTGCAAAATGCTGACTTCTGTTGCAGGGAAAATCCTGTCTGAAAATCTGTGCGTGTCATTCCAGTACTGACTTCTCTCTCTGTCTCATTTTTCTGTGTGCCTCTTCCCCTACCCTTGTCTTTTGCTCTCCCTCATCTCCCTTCTCCTTCTCTTGGCTTGCTGGTTTGTCAGCCCCTCCCTCCTTGCTCTCTTCCCTCCTTGCAGAACAAGATGGTGAAAGGCAGCCTCAGCACAGAGCAGTCGGAGCGGGGGTGAGGGGGGAAGTGTGTTCCTGGGAATGGAAATAAAAGCAAGCACAGGTGAGTTGGGGAGAACTTCCTGTTCCCCCATGTCCTTCCTCCCTTCTGTGGGAGAAGTGGATATTGCTTGTGCCCCTTTGGAGGTTGTAATTGGATTTTATTTAGTTTTTGTTCCTCTTTTTGCTTTAGGTTAGTGGTTTCATTTTGCATTTACTGGTAAATGGCAAAGTTGCCCTCTTATTTGCTGGTTTTTGCCCAATTGCTGTATTCATTGAAACCACCACCTGAGGTCTCCACTCATTTTATCTTCCTGTGTAGAAGCTAGCACATTATTCTTTATCATTCTTTTGGGACTTAATAGTAAATTACCTGAAAAGCTCATAGAGGTCTAGATTTCCATGTTATTAAACCTTTTACTGAGCTGGGAGGGGGCCAATTGAATTTTGTTTGTTTGAAGGTGATTATTATAAGTTTTGCAGGCCTCTGGACTGCAGGATGCCTTTGAGAAAATTGGGGTAAGAAGTGACCCTTCCTATGGGCCTGTTACTCCTCCCCTTTTCCCTCCCCTTCCCCCCAGGCACTGTCCTCTTCCTTTCAAACAGACCGGAGCTAAAGATGGTAGAGCTGTATCTGTTTGGCCCTGTAGCCATGAATCTGCCATGCATACTATGTCTGTCATTACCATTGTTGATTACACAGAGCAGTTGAAAAATCCACTTCCTTGTACCCTGGATCTCCAAAGTATTCACTTAATTACCTCAAAATCTGAAAATCTTTCTCAGATCCACCTGACAGCTAGATGACCTAAATGAAATGAACGTTTGGTCTCCAATCATGTTCTTTGAAACAAGCGTGTTCTAAGCTACCACCCTATTGGTACTAATTGGCTCTCTTGATCTCAGCTTGTTCATTTCTTACAGATTGGGTTGCCTTTGTGTCCCTTTCCTACAATTTTGCAGGTGTGAGTTACTCTTTCACTTCTATTACCTCATCTAATGAGAACTCTGTCCCCCATCTCCCTGCTTCTCAGCAACTTCCTCTTTCAATCTTACCTTAAAACCTTGCTTTGTTTCTCCAACTGAGTTACTGTGAAGTGTTTTTTGTGGTATTTTCTATGAAGGAAGTGAGATTTACCAAATGTTATGTTTTTTTTATGAAAAAATAGCAAATAACTAGTGTTTGGTATGAACACTTTTTATACAGTGACTGGCTTGGTTTAGCTCAGTTCTGTTATGCAATTTCTTGTTTTAGGTACATTCTTGTGTATACTTGGATTTTCATTAAAGCAAAGTTACCCACTCAGCCAAGATTAGCTATCCATATCCTTTGTATAATTCTTTTTGTAAATAAAATTGAAAAATCTTAATGATCACACTGAACTTTTCCATGTCCTAAAATGTGTAAATGACTGTGTGGCTCATAATGTGAGGTGTTGCAATACTAGTCAGAGTGTTGTGTCTGTTTTAATTGTCTAATGTTAGGGAAGACATGGAGCTGGTTCTCTGTAATCGTGGCTGAACACTTATAACAACTAGGAGTCAGTGAGCATAAACATGCTATGATGTTCAGGTTTCGTTCAGGTTTATTTTCTGCACAGATTTCCAACACTAACCCCATCTCCAAGTTTAGTCTCAGTTTCATACTTATACCATTGCAAGTTTCACAAGGTCAAGGGCCTGTCGATTTGAATTTGTGAAGTGCTTTGTTCAGCTCTAGAGCTCAGAGTATCATTTTATTCTCTTCCCTAACCTCCTTTTAAAAGATAAGTAAGCAGTGAGTCCAGGGTATTTGTCTTTGCTTGTGACAGGCTGTTCTTAGGTGAGGTGAGAGGGTTTGGTTATGAGGAAGAAGAGAGAAGTTCTTCTGTCACTGTCTTTCCTTCCAGCCCTACCTTGCTCCTGGGCTCTTCTGCTCCCCACTGGAAGTGGTAGGTGTTGCATCTCAGTTATCTATCCTGTCATTGTGCAATACAGGTCATCACGATGTGTGACAAATAACCAAAGTAATCGGGATCCGTTGCTTATGGGGGACTTGGGATGGAAGCCCCTACCTAGGCTGTGTATGGGGCACTGGGGGGGAGGGGGGGGCGGGAAATGCCCTGTGCCCATTCTGCCTCTGGGTAGCATCCCCATTTAATTAATGCAGCCCTCCTTGCACAAATCATGTCCATTTGCACATAGTTAATGTTGGCTGTCCATTCTTCCCTTCCCTCATGCAGTTAAATTGGCCATCTCACTTGCAACCGATGCAACTCCGCTAGTCTGTAATGGGCTGCTCGCGACTTCTTCAGACTTCTCACAAGGGAAGATCTTCACGTTCCTCCCATCCTGGTGACAAGTTTGTTCTTTGTGGAAGTTAGAACGGCCCCAGAGTTTGTCTAGCTGTGCTTGTGGGGCTGTTCGTGCCTTTGACATCCACAGTACGCTCCATTACACGCTGTGGAAGGGGGAAGAAATAGATTCTCATAGACCTCAGTATGCCTGCTAAGGATTCTGCAGCATCAGAATCAGAAGTGGTGCACAGAGGCCAGATGGAAGGAGGGGGAGAGAGGGTCATAGGATCTAGTCAACAGGCTCAGTATAAAAAGCCTACTATGAAAGTATAGAGTAATATGGACTTGGGGACATCTTAACACTGACAATAATTTGACAGTCCTGTGGAGGAAAGGAATGGGGATACAAAGTGAAAAGTTTACCAGTGCTCTTCCAGAAGTGGAGTGTCTTTGTCATTTTTCCACCTTTTTTCTGCCCCAGCAACTTCTTGTTTGGAAATATTGTGCCGCTTCTTTTTTTCTTAAGGAGGTTGTCTCATAAATTTGTCCCCTTTTTACCCTGGTTTTGTGCCCCCAAATGAAAGCTTACCAGGGTCTGGACACCCTTTTTTCAAGGGAAGCTTGCTGCATAAATGTGGTATTAATGAAACTTCATGGAAATTCTGTAACTGTCCTCTGGTAATAGAAAAGCTGTCCTGTTGCTGTTTTGGTGGGGGAATGCAGTGTGAAGTTGACTTTCAGGGTAGGAATAGGCTGTGGGAGGTATCCTTTTGCTTTTGTTTTGCTCTGTTCATTTCTTGGCCCAGCAGGGTAAGAGGAGCCCTTCCCTTTGGTTCTCTGGATCAGTTCCAGGCAAGTCAGTGGATTGTGTCTCTCTGTTTGCAGCTCGTCTCTTCCTGAGCCAGTTGCCCCTAGAACTTTTGGATCAGTTCCAGATATGGAGAGTAAATGTGTGCGATTGAGCCTGGTGCTCTGGATCTTTGCCAGGAAGAGAGTGGGATTGTATGTGGTGAGCCTGTTTCCTCCCTGAGCCAGTGCCTAATGCTCTGGATTGATTCCAAGCATGGGCAAGCTGCAGTTGTACAGAAGCCAGAGAGAGGCAGCAGCATGTCCTTGCCACTCCTTCAGTAAGGGCTCACAGTTGCACAGTAATGAATACCAACAGAGATCAGCTGCCTGAGCTGTCTAGGAACCTTCCTCCCTGTTTTGTGATACTGTCTATGTGGAAATGTCTGGCTTTGTTTTAATTTTTACATGCTTGTATCATGTCTTTTGACTTGGTGTGGAAATTGTAGCAGCAACAGTTTTTTTTTCGTGGGAGGCCCTAGTGATACTAACTGCAGTACATGTGCAGCTGATATTGTGGGGTTTGTTTTGACACGAGTTCACCAACTGGGGAGAGGAGGGAGGGATATATAAACCATATATGAGTGACAGCAAAGGACTCACTCCCAATAAATAAATCAGTCTTGGATCTCAGATGAGCTATAGGAGGAAGAACAATATATAGGGTTGCCCATTTTTTGGCAGTGGCAGTTTGTCAAGGGAGGCTGAAGTAATTAAAAGAAAATAAACAGAAAATATCCAGCTTTGACTCCTTTTTGCTCAGCCTTTAGCCAGAAGTTTTAATAAGGTTAGGATATTTGTTTGTACGACTCCTTGAGGGGTATAGTTAAATTTAAAAAAATTTAGAGAGGAATTGCTATATCAGACTTCTTACTTTAAGATGCCTTAATTCTGCTCCTCACCCTAACCTTGTCCCTGAAGGTGAGCAAACTGGGAACAACAGAAATAAGTTTTAGTTTTACAGAAAAAGTACTTATTTTCTATAGTAGCGGTTCTCAACCTTCTAAGACTTGAGACACCCCCACGGAAAATGCCAGCTTAGTTTTTCACTTGCTTTTTTTTTTTTTTTTTTTTACTACTGAGAAATAATACTACAATTCTTCTGTTGCAAAGGACTTGGACCAGGGCAGGTCAGAATTTTTTTTTAATACTGTGTATTCCTATTTGAAATCTCCGGGTTTGTCTTGTGAATCATGTTTGTACACCTAACTGTGCCATGGCACCCTGATTGACAGTGATTGCTCACATCATGAAATTGGTAATGGGATACAAACCTATAAACTTTGCCATACGTTCTGTTGAAAGGGTGAGTTGATATTCAGTGAACGTTGTAACTGATCTGCATGAAATGTGTTGGGGAGTTTCAGTCCAGTTCTAATGGGCAGGTACCACATGACAGAAGCTACCATTATACTTTATTTTATTCGGGCTCTTTTTATAGCCAGGTTTAGTTTACAAGCTAAGAACTATTGGTGCACCAATAAAGATTTTTTTGGCTGATTGTTAACTAGTTATATCAGCCGATACCAATCTGGTAGCTGATACTCAGCCTGGCCTCTTGGAGAGCAGCGTCCAACTGGTAAGTCTGTAGGGAGAAGGGACATGGGCAGATCGAGGCCCCCGTGGTGAGGGAGGGAATGGGGTTGGGGCTGGGGCAGGGACAGGTGCTTCCCAGCCAGGGTGGGGCACAGGATGCAGGGGGGGCGCCCCCCTGCCACTGTATGCACCCCTGGTGGAGGCATGGGGGCCATGTGCTCCCTGGATTTGTGCATGGGCTTGGGGCCAGGGGCTGTGCTGACCTTTTCCTGGGGGCTGGGGCTGTGCTCAGGGTGGGTGGCCGTGGCGGTGGGAGGGGTGGCTATGGCAAATTTTGGGGTGGCTGTAGCCCACCCCGTAGCCCCCCTTCCTAGCACTGCTGCTGCCTCCCACCCTGTCCCTGCCCAGCCTGAGAACAGCCCTGGCCCAGCCCCTTGCTGGGAAGAAGCTAGTGCAGCCCCTAGCCCCAAGCATGCAGGAGGCAGCCTGTCCTTGCCCCGTGCACAAATCCCAGGGGCACATGCCCCACATGCCTCCCCCGGGGATGTGCAGAGTGGCAGGGAGTCGCTCCTCCTTTTCCCCATGCTCACTGGATGAGCTGCCTGGAGCTCCATTCCCCACCCCACCGCATCTGGGCAGCGCCTGCCCCATCCCCATTCTCTCCCTCGCTGTGGGGGCCTTGGCCCCAGGCACCTTCCTCTTCTCTTCCCCCCCCCCC